GAAAGGCGCTCTTCCTTAAGATATGTTTTGAAAGTTTAGAATGATTGTTAGAAAAAGTGATTAGTGATTTAAAATTAAAGGTGGTAGTGCTAACTTCTAGTAAATATTTCCTTAGCACAACAGAGGTTTTTCTTGCTATGGATTATAACTGCTGATAATTCTTGTTAGAAATTGTGATGAGTTTTTTTGTCTTAAATTTGGCTGCTCTGAAATTAATGCCTCCTATTTTATTATGTTGGCCCTCGATGTCAGAGGTGGATGCTGGTGGTATGGCAGTAAAGACTAAACTTTCCCGATTGTGTTCCATTACACGCTGTTGCTGTGTGAGAGATGGCAGCAGAGAGGCAATCTGACTGACAAAAGTCATCTGACATGAGAGTATGTGTATGAAGCAAAGGTGTGTCACCGGATTTATCCATGTAGAAAAATTGGTGCACACTGACTGCAAATCTATGGAGACCAAAGAACAAATTTTAGCACAGTGAAACAATAGGTATTGTATTTCAGCAGTGGTGAGTGTAGGGCACCTCTGCTGGTGTAGTTGTTTTGTTTTTGAGTGGGTCATTCAGCCTCTTGTTTATTGCTGGCAAAAGTGCAGTGAATAGCTAAGAGTAGTGACTGTTGAAAACTAATGTTTTGTAGCTGAGAATTTGTTCTACCAAATATTGTTATTGTGTGTTCTACCAAATATTGTTATTGTGATCTTTGTAATAGTATCTGTAAAAAGTTTTCATGGGAATAAGAAGCGTTACTTTCAGAGCAACCTACTTAGTTCTTGTTTTCTCTGACCTCCAAATTTTGTGTGCAAAATTGCAGCACAGTAGCTGAGCATATTCTTCACCTAATACAGGAAATGTGGCCTAGGGCACTGTGAGAAATGGTATTTCTCATAACTGAATAGGGAAATAACTCTTTGCACAATTTTGTTAATGAAGTATAAGCAATTCAGTGGAAACAGGGAAAAAATAAATACTATAGAGTTAATCGGCCTCTCAGAATTCCGTGTTTCCAGGGTGTAGTTGGAGTTTTGGAGTTGGTTATGAAATGAGGCATATAACTAAGCCTTGAACAATGAGGAAAAACTAAATATAAAGTAGATGCTCATTAACACTCTATTATCAATTGTCAGTCTTGAATAGAGAATACCTTTGGGGGAAGGAAATGCATGCCCTTGTGCAATAAAGGAGTATGTAATGAAGCTGAGGTACAGCAAGAGGATCTCAAGCTGAACAGACCATAATTTCATCAGTTGTTTTAACTCTCCTTTTACTTAATTAGTCTGCAGTTGTATACTGCACAACAAAGAAAGTATAATTACTGAAGTTTGGAAGGAATTTCTGGAGGTAAACTAGTCCAACCTGCTCATCTGCTCTAACTTAAACAAGGCCAATCAAGAATTGTGTGGTCTTGTCATGCTGTAATAGAGTTGAAATCTCCCCTTCTGAAGTCTAGAGCTGTTATTCTACTTTTTGTCTTGTTCAGTTATCTTGTTTCAAACTCCATAAAGTCAGCTGTTACAGTCAAATAGAAGCATTCAAGTAAAATCTTTGGGTTTTTTAAATATTTTTTCCTAATTGATAGCTCTGTAGTAGTAACTCTGATCATCCTTCCTTCCCAGTTTTTGCTTAATGTCTGTACTTCATGTTTAGCCTACACTCACTGTTCTGTTCATATTCCTGGGGAAAATGTTTTTGGTGTAATGTTAACATGCTATCAGCTTCCAAACAAGGCAATGCACATCCTGACTAGCCTCAGAGAAGGGAAGGGGATATTGATGTAACCAACAAATAGTTGTGCATTCATAGATATATACACATAGATAAGTTAATTAGGCCAGCTATTATTATGCAAGTAGCTTTGATATGGACAATATCAATTATTTCCACCCCCCCGCTCCCCTTCCAGTACCTGACAGTGGCCTACAGGAAAGCTGGGGAGCTTATATAACGGAGCTATAAGGGCATGTAGTGACAAGATGAGGGGAAATGGCTTTAAACTGGAAGAGTGTAGATTTAGACTAGATATCAGGAAGGTATCTTTACTGTGAGGGTGGTGAAACACTGGAACAGGTGGTCCAGTGAGGTTGTAATGCCCTCCTCCTGGAAGCATTCAAGGCCAGGGTGGGGTCTTAAGCAACTTGGTGTAGAGGGAGGTGTCTCTGCCTATAGCAGGGGGGTTAGAACTAGATGATCTCAAGTCCCTTCCAATCCACACTATTCTCTGAATAAGGAAACAACTGCAAGCCATCAGCTTTCTGTTATCAGGTTAACTTAGCTAGCGATCTTTTGGTTGTTGTCTGATTGTACTGAATATCATCAAGATAAGCCTAGAAATGAAACCTTTCTCTTTAAGGGGAAAAAAGAGCTCTCTTAGTTAAGTCCCGTGACAGGCCTATGAAGACATAATTGGTTATAATTGGCATTCACAGGAGCTCTGACATGCTCTACCTGCATCGAAATGGCTCTTAGAGAGGCAACAAAATCATCTGTCTTTCTATAAATACTGCAGAAGTTTCTCTTTGCATATAAACCTGCTTGGAATTCAAGTGAGAATAGTTTGGAAAGCAAATCTTAATCCATGAGTTCATTAACAATAAATAAACTCATCTTGCTTTACTTAGCGAACTGCTGTGCCTTGTTTTGGTCTATAATGCAGCACACAACTTTAAGAACAAGCTAATGAATTGAAGGAGGATATTTGTTACGTAGTTTATGGTGGGCAGTTGATTTCCCAGACCATGGCAGAAGCTATAGATAATTACCAGTCATTGCCAACTAATTTGATGAGTTAACGTATACAGTTGTGGGATGGGTTTTAAAACAAACTTAAGAAAGTATTTTATATGTATTTTGCATGTGATATGTTCCCCATCTTGAGTCTAAAGCTGAATCAACAGAGTTCAGTCTGTAGAATTAATCTTTTTGAAAATGAAATTGTGTTCAAAGTTCCGTTATGCTATTGTGTTCTTCTAACTCAGAAGAGGGAAATTTCTTGCTTCACTATGACTTTAGACACATTTGAGTTTACCGATGGTATGTTTTGGTAGGTATGCGTATGATGGGAATGTGGATACATTTTCACTGTCATTGAGTCAGCTATTTATAAATTTTCCTTCTATGTGCTTGAGTTTTTGCTCCCCTGGTAATGTGTGTTGAGATTTCTAGAAGAAGCTTCTTAAATGAGGGCAAAGTGTCAATTATTTCCACTAATATGTAATATTCAGCTTTAGAGGCACTGTAGCTTTATGGGTAAGTGCAGAGATAAAGTGTAGAGTGTACAATACAGTTTCTGCATCTAACTACGCTTGTTCTCTTCAGGGTTACTTGATGCACGTTGCTGGTTTGTACACTTGGGGGGATTAAGAATAGCATTAGTTGTGGTTTCTCTCTGACCAAAAATTGTACCCAGTTTTCCTGTACTTCCTGCAGTTCTCATACTTGATGCTGAAATGAGAGCTGAGTGGTTTGGGTTTCTATTTTGTAGCTTCTGATCTGTTGTTACAGTAGTTACAAACTCAGGTGCAGTTGGTAGCTGGGACATTGAGACACATTTCTGACCCACCTGAAATTTTGGATGTAGGATGGCAATTTTGGTTGTGTTTTCAAAGAGGCTCAGAGGCTGGGTCATAAAAATCCTGCTCGTAACTTGCAGTGTTGAGTACAACTGAGAAAGTGGTTTCTGAATACTTCTGCTTCTCAGCTTCTTTATCTGCAGTGGAAATTCCTCACTTGTATGTCTTACTGTGCTGAGATTGCTCATTGTCAATGTGGAGGACAGTGTCCAGCTTTGTGGAGGTTTTCTGTTGTCTGAAAAACAAACCAGGAAAAAAAAAAACTTTAACAAATACAAAACAAAACACAAGGTGAAGGAACAAATTTCCAGGCGAACTGTAAAGAGAAATGGTGCTAGAAACACCTGTCGTAGATATCCAAAAGTCTTTTAAATATTTTTGGAAAAACTCCTCAGCTATGAATAGTCTTCAACTGAAAACAAGACAGATTCCACGAGGCCAAATATTCCCTTCAGATCCCCAAATGAAACTAAATCCCATGTTTCTGAAACAATTTCTGATTGGGATTTTTTTCTGTGGTGTTTTCTCCCTCACCCTTCACAAGTGTTGTGTTATCGAGCACTGTCTGCGATGATATTAAGCACTAATGGAATCAATAATTCTTGATAAGCTCTTCACTTTATCTCAGACTGCTTGCCTTTATTTAGGAACTGAAATGCCTTTCATTAAGAACCTGAAAATACACTTCAGCAGGTTTCATACAGTAAAAATGCCTGGAGTGATTTATACCAAAAGCAGATGGTTGCTTATTTGTTTGTGATTCTTCCACTGTTACGCATGTAGGAGCATTAGGATATTCTGAATAACATACATGCATGTTTGCAAATATTTTCAGTAAGTAATCCATCTTTTGTCCATGTTCATGTGAGAGACACACCTTCCACAAGGAAGAAATTGAGTTTTTGTCACAGAGTCTAACAGTTCAAGCCTAATGGTGAAGGAACAGATATATTTGTCTGATTTTTAAAAAGCTTCAACTTAATACCTTCTTGTATTAGAAAAAGTCTAGTCTAGCATTCCAGAGTTATGGCTCCTTGAAGGGAAACTTGTGACTTTATAGAAGGAAGAATGCATGTAGTAAGCAGGAGAGGGTAGTCTAAGTAACCATTTTGTGCACCTTAAGGTGCATGTTATGAATATCAGAGAGCTCACAATGTCATTTGTCGCAAATGAGGATTTAGTGTACATTGTCTCAGTTATTAACGTCCAGAGTGTGGAAATATGTTTTCATCATCTACTTAATTTTCCTGATTCCTTCTATGTGCTGTCAGTAGCATGGTCAGTGGAATATCTTGATTTTTACCAAGTTAACTAATGAAAGCATATGTTTGTGTATATTCCTTCTAGAAGCCATAGAATTATTTTCAGAGTATACAAATAAATGATGTGTGTAATTAATGCTTTTGTCTCTGAATTTTCTGTTTTCTAGCTGGTGCCACGTATATATTTGGGAAGAGTGGAGGCCTCATCTTGTACACCTGGCCAGCTAATGACAGACCAAGCACAAGGACTGACCGTCTTGCTGTGGGCTTCAGCACAACAGTGAAGGATGGCATTCTTGTACGGATTGACAGTGCCCCTGGACTCGGTGATTTTCTGCAACTGCATATAGTGAGTATAGCTAAACCAACATCTATGTCAAACCTGAATATCTATCTATATGTTTAAAGAAAACTATCATGATGAAATAAGGTATGTAATTCTCAGTTCTTTTTGTATCTTCAGTACTCACCAAATTAACCTGCCTTAGCTAGTCTTCAGGGTTTGTGAAAATTGTCGAATGGGATGAACAGGGAGGTAAATCTTGGTGCTGGAAGAATGGGGAATGAGGGGAAGGCCTTATAGCATTCAGTAGCAATAGAATGTATTCAAGAACTGTAGAAACAATGTAAATATAATTTCACTAATATTTCTGAAATTTTGGTGGATTATTGCTATTCTCAGAAAGGAAAGAATGAAATGGAATAAGAATTTTTTCTCACTGAGGAAGTTAAGTAGAACTGACCACGTTCTTATCTGGTGTGGAGAGAGTCAATACAATTGACGTTTGCTATTGCAGGGTAGTTCCAAATAGCATGGCCTTGCAGGAATTATTTTTCTGTTGAATGCAAATATTAATGAAGAACATCTTCAGTGAAAATGGCTTTAGTGAAAGTTTGCATTTCTATGAGAAAATGAGACTAAAACTAGAAACCTTTTCAGCCTGTTTCTGTGTTTTTCCTTATAAGGTGGGGAGAGGGTTGGGGGCAAAACAATATTGGGTTTATTTTCCATTCTAAATAAGTAGTTAAGAAATTCACTAGAGATAAATGCTAGTCATGTTGCTTGATGGTCATGTTTTCCATGTTGTATGCATTAATTCATGTTGGAAGAAGAATGTGACATTTGCAGGGTTCAAATGATCTGGGGAGCTGCTGATATTTCATTGGAGATTAGAGAAGGTGTAAATAATCGTGAAGAATATCCCAGTACAATACACAGACCTAATGTGAATGATTGAAAGTCTTAATCTGGTACAGAGGAACTTAAAATGTTCAAAATCTTGTGGAAATGTAAGGAATATTGCAGAATGTTCCTGAAGTAAAATATAAGGCTTGCGCTCATTTCCAGCATTTCCTGTGGCTTTAGTTAGAATTTTGTTATAAGGCTCAGACGTTTAAAATGATTGGAGTATGACTGGGAACCATTACACTGTCACCAGTTTTGGATCTCTTTTTGTGTTCTTTCTGAATGTTTCGTGTTTTGTATTGGAATGAAAATAAAATCAAATCCTGGCATTTTCTCCTTTTTTCCCCAAAGAAATGCTTTTCTTCTTTCAAAACAAAAGCCAAACAAAACCAAAACCCACACTAAACAGCATTAAGTGGGTTGAAATTCTGTAGCTTCTCAAGCAAACGAGGTTGGACGTGAATGAAGAAGAAATTGTATTCTTCAGCTATTGTAACGTATAAGACTTCTGTATTGTCTGTTAACTGGAAAACAATATGCAAGGCATGTGAGCAGAGGTAGAAAGATGCAAGGTGGCTAGATCTTAGGAGGAAAAAAGGATCTTATTGCTGTTGGCTGCCTTCTGGGATGTTACAGAGAAAATGGAAGTCAGACTCGTCTTAAGGTGGTGCTCAATAGAAGGAAGAGGGAAAATGCACAGAAGTACCAACAGGGAATTTGAATCTTTTATTGAGAACTTTTAACAATGAGAGTATGTACATAATGAGTTTTTTTCAGCATCAGTGACAAAGGTGCACAGTTTTTTTTCCTCTGTAATTTGGTCTTTAGTATTTCCTCTTTCCTTAGAGATGAGTCCAACAGAAATTTTTTTTGAATGATCATCTTTTTGGCATTATCTGAGATCTAGAGACATTAGATACCTAAGCTATGAACTGTGGTTGGTATTAGTGCTAAAAGTTCTCTTGGCCACTTCAAGTACAGTTTGGCCAATTTTATGTGTAAAAATACTCACTGGCAGCAAATACAGCAGTTCAGCTTTCTCTTGTGCTTTCTTAGACGTGGTGAATTAGGAGGTTTTGCCAGTTATTTGTGAATAGCAAAGGTATGTTGCTGTGTTTTTCTGTGTGGTATTCACCCTTATCATGTCTATTGTTGATAATACCGATGTTCAAATAGAAAATGTGGTCTGAGCCTCATGTCACTATATATACAGTAGATAAATTTGAACTTTAAAAATTGCTATTGGCTTCTTGAATATCTTTAAGACTTTGTTATTTCTAGTTTATGTATAATTCAAGCATTTTATGTAAATTACTGAAAGCCACAGAACTGAGTTAACATCAAATTATTTTGGAAAAGGTTGAATACTGAAAGGTGCATCTTGACAACTAAAATGTGAGACTGTGTATGACGTTTTACTTTGCAAGACATATGCAAGCTTTCTGTGAGATCAGTCTTCCTGACTAACTGAAAATTACCACATGCTGTGTGCTGTTATGTTCAAAGATGCTGTCCATCTTCTGTTTCTCAAGCCTTGTCCTTCCATTAGGCAGTCTTCCAGTGTGAAAATGTCATGGTTCTATGTTTTTTGTTTGGATAAGACAGTTCAAATGATGATTAAAAATACAGGAGAAATATATTTGTATATCAGGAAAAAGTTATGAAACTACATTAAACACAGGAGAAAGAATTAGAATTAAAATACGTATTAAATCAGGGAAAACCGATGTTAACTCATTTTATGCATTTTTAACAAACTAACAAATTGGCTTTTGGGGAGGAATTCTTCTTCTATTTATTTTAACTGATGGATGTTTTTGAATGAGTACTGGAGAGGCTTCTTTTTCTGGGGTCTTTCTGGTATGCCAGTCAGACCTTTATTTATAAAAACTATTTTTTAAGGATAGTATTTACTGAACTCTGGCCTTCTCATTCTTCCTTAGCTGCTCTGTTGTTTATTATAGTTAACAAATTTCTTAGTGATCATTTTGTACTGTGCATTACTACACTAAAACAATCCAGTCATAGTATGGGTTGTATTGTATACAAATCTGGTACAATTTTAAAGGTTGTTAAAGGAACTTGTATAATTCTAGAGAGACTTCTTAATAGTTTCCATGATTTTTTTTTAACACTGTGTATGTTTTGGAGCATTCATTATAATCTTTCCAAGAGACAAAAAGGCAAAGAAGGTATCTTTAACAAAGACTTGGATATTGTTTAATTTATGATCTGTTTGGATTCATTTTAAAAATTACTACTCCTTCAGACATTGTGGAAATTCATTAACTAAACTGTCTCTTAAATGACAAAAAATTACAACCTCTGAAACTACTTTCTCTCCTGATTTACAATGTAGAATAAGCCAGCAGCAATGGGAAAATAGATGGCATGCATTTCAGATCGATGTTGTATATGAAGCATGAGGCGTTAGTGTGAATAGCTCTAACTGGATCATATAGTCCAACTCCCCTGCAATGAACAGGAACATTCACAGCTAGATCTGGTTGCCCAGAAGCTGGTCCAGAGTGACTTTAACTTGTCTACAGGAATGGGGCATCCACCACATCTGCTGGCAACCTGTTCCAGTGCCTCACCACCCTCACTGTAAAATAATTTTTTTTTTTTTTTTTTTTTTTTTTTTTTTTTTTAAATGTCCAACCTAACTCTACCCTCTTTAAGCTTGAAACCCTTTCCCCTTGTCCTATTATAATAGATCCTTTAAAGAATCTGTTCTCTTCTTTCCTGTAGTTCCCCTTCAGGTATTAAAGGGTGACTATCAGGTCACCTTGGAGCCTTGTCTTCTCCAGGCTGAACAGCTCTTTCAACCTATCCTTATAGGAGAGATTCCATCCCTTGGATCATTTTTGAGGCTTTTCTCTGGATGCAGTTGCACAGATCAGTGTGTTTTCCTCTACTGAGGACTCCACATCTAGGTGCTGTACTCCAGGTGAGGCATCTGCCAGGCAGAGAGACAGGATCACCTCCCTCAGCCTGCTGTACGTGTTTCTTCTGATGCAGCCCAGGCTTGGCTTTCTGGCTGTAAGGGCACGTTGCTGCCTCACGTCCAGCTTCTCATCAGTATCCTTTTTTTGGTACGCCTGACTTCAATCCTTTCATCTCCCACCTTGTATTGGTGGTGAGGATTGCCTTGACCCAGGTACTAGACTTTGCACTTCAGTTTGCTGAATCTCATGAGCTTCACCTGGGCTAACTGTTCAAACCTGTCTAGGTCCTTCTGGATGGTATCCTGTCTCTTGGGTGTGTTGACAGCACCCTGCAGCTTGGTGTCATCAGTAAACTTGCTGAAGATGTAGCTGACCAAGCTGTCAGTGTCAGTGAAGATTTTAAAGAATATTGGTCCCAGCACTGACCCCTGTGGGACACCACTTCTCATTGGTCTCCATCCAGATATTGAGCCATTGACCACCACCCTCTGGGCTTGATCCTGCAGCCAGTTCTTTGTCCATTGGACAGCCCAGTCATCAAATCCATATCTTTCCAATTTTGAGAGTAGGCTGTTGTGGGGTACTGTGTCAAAGGCCTTATGAAGTCCAGATAGATGAGATCAGTGGCTTTTGCCTTGTCCACTGGTGCAGTTACACCATCATAAAAGACCACTAGGTTGGTCAAACAGGATTAGCCCTCAGTGAAACCATGCTGGTTCTCCCATATCACTTCTCTATCTTCTACATGCCTTAGCATAGCTTCCAGGAGGACCTGCTCTGTGATCTTTCCTGGCCCTGAGGTGAGACTGACAAGTTGGTAGTTTCTGAGGGCATTCTTTTTACCCTTCTTAAAAATGGCTGTGATGTTGCCTTTTTTTTCCAGTCACCAGGGGCTTCACCTCATTGCCACGACTTTTTAAATATCATTGTGAGTGGATTGGTGACTACATCAGCTAATTCCGCCAGGATGTATCTTACTGGTATTCTAGACTTTCGGATGTTCAGGCTCTGCAGGTGGTCACAAATCTGATCTTCCCTCGCAGCAGGAGGAACACTTCCTCTCCAGTCTGCTCCTATCTAACCAAATAATGTCTCCATATCTTAATTATGAGTTATTATTTACAAGTTCAGAACAGAGCTTTTACTCTTGCTTTTCCACGCTTTAAACCTGTATAAAATAAGTCTTTGAGTTTGATATGCTTCTTTGAGTGTACC